CCCCCCGCCGTGATGTCAGCGGGGCCACTCTTAAAGGGGCAGGCCGCCCGCCGAGGGTCGGAGTGGGGGGCTGGGGCCGGGCCTTGCGGACGCGGGATGGGGGTACCGTAGCAGCAATGGGAGAGACGGTGGGGGTGGGGAGCGGCACAGCATCCAGCTGGGCCGGGTCTGGCAACCCAGGGGCCTGCAGAGAAGATGAGACTCCGGGGCCGCGAGGGAGCCTGCAAATCTTTGGGGCTCAGTCCCCTCCAAACGCACAGGCAGAGGCACTCCACTCGGCCAGCCAGCCGCTGCCAGGGGACTACGTTTCCCATCAGCCTTGGCGGCAAGGGTCGCACTTGGGGGAAGGGTCTGCGACGATGTCTACTGGGAAATGTAGTCTATTTGGACTGTCCGTTCCACTCCCCCGACTCTCAAGTGGGTCAGGGGAAGGAGGGTCGGGAGGCGCGGCTTTCTGCCTTCTCCTTCGCCGCTGACTCTTGCGCTTAGGGGTTCTGGCTGATTGGATTTCTCTGTTTGGGGGTCTTTTTCTCTGATCAAGACTCTGGTTTCTCAGTAGGAGGCCCGCCATTCCTCTCTCCTCTGGGGCTTCTTCTAGAGGAAGAGACTCCAGGCCGCGAGGGAGCCTGCGATGTGTGCCTAAGGTCTCTAGGGCATCTGTGCCCCGGGTCTCTGACACTCTGTTATCTTTGGATACATCTTTCCACATGCATCTGCCCACTTAGGTCCTCTCTCTGGCTGTGTGTGTGACGCTGTTTTCCTTTCTCTCTTGCTGTGGGTAGTGTATGTCTCACTTTATGGGTCTCTGTGCTTTCCCTCCATCCCTGCCCCCCCCCACCTCTCTATGTGTTTGTTTCTATGTACAGTTCCACCTCCACACTCCCCTCATTCTCCAAGCTTACAAGAAAACATCCAAACACTTCAGCATCAGCATCCCAAATTTATTCTCCAGCAGCTGTGGCTGGGTGGGAGAGACTAAGGAGAGGGGAGAAGGAAGAACAGGGGGGAGGAAGAGGGAGAGAAGAGATTCCCAGAAAATGGCAGGCACTGGAGAGGGGAGGGGATGGTTCCCAGCAAGACTGGAGCCATGCACCGGCAGGCGGGGTTAGGGATTAATATGAGCGGTGGTGGGTTTGGGATGGGGAAGTCCAGAACAAAAGCTATTGGGAATAGTTGGGGAAAGAATCCTTCAAATATCCCAAGGATCCCCAGAGCATAGAAGGAGGGAGTACTGGAGGATGGGGGCACAGCCTCCCACTTACTCTAGAACTGGAGTGAAGATGGAAGGGGCCTTGGAGGTTGAGGTTTGCTCTGGAATCTGAGTCTGGAAGAGCCAACCCCATGAGATTATTTCTGGGGTCGGGGGAGGCATAGAACTACCAAGAAGGAGTCTCAAATCCCATGGAGTTGGGATGGTGGTGGTGGTCCTTGAACCTGTTAGAGCGGAGTCCAGAATGCTAAGGTAGGGGAAGATATAGGGTTTGGCACAACAGAATCTAGAACATAGGACGGCTCCAGAAACTGTATGGAGTTTAGAATGCCAGAGACGCTTGGGAGGGGCATCTAGATACCATGAGGGCAGAGGCCAGAACGCTGAGATGCAGGATCTGGAATCCGGAAGGGGGTGGAGCAGGTGGCATGGCAAAGGGGATACTAGAGACACCTAGTGGTGGCAGGTGAGATTACATGACTGGCACAGGCACCGGGCTGGTGGGGCTGCGGGCGTCCGGGTGCACGAAATCAGGGTTAACGTAGGTGAAGCCCTGGAAATCAGCCTGGTCTATGCTGGCCAGGACTAGGCGGTCCGGGGGTGTCAGCGCTGGCGCTGCACGTGTGAAAAATTTGTCGAAGTTCTCGCCGCTTCGACCACACTGTGGGAAACAGGAGGAGGAAAAGTTAAGAATCTCTGCCTGCTCCTTGGGTGTCCTCTATATCCTGCACTCATCTTCTGTCTCTTGCAGGATTACTACATAGCCTTCCTTTATGCGAGGGGAGTCTCCACAGAGGGAACCTCACCCAACCGCCATATATGGGTATTGACACTCATGGGTACCCCACCCTTCCTGGGATCCCGGTTTTTGTTGTTGTTGCCTAGGTAACTGACCGGGCGTGGTCTGAATGGAGGCGCAATCTCCAACCGTTCCAGTCGCTCCCAGTCGATCCAGCGGAAAAAACCATGTGCTCGGATGGTGGGTTCCCCATCTGGCCCTGAGCCCAGGCGCTTCCCTGGGTGCTTGGTCAGGAACTGTGGGAAACATAGACATAGAGACAGATGGACAGACAGAGTCCCAGATAGGGAGACTCAGAATGAAAAAGAGAGAGAGAGAACCCAAGTGACACAGGCATAGAGATCCAGAGAGAGAGAACAGCGAGAAAAAACAGAGATGAAGAGAGAGGGGAGGAATGGAAGAGAGGAAGAGAGGAGGAAGAAGAGGGAGAATAAATGAGAATGGGAAAAAATGAATTCCGGATCCAGAGGCCCAAGGCCAGACAAAAAAGAGAAAAAATCAAGGTGTGAGATTGTGAGAAGCAGAGGACCCAGAAAGAAAGGAGGGTACATGGAGAAGATACCCAGAGAGGGATGAAAAGAGAAAGAAGAGGTTGGAGATCCAGAGAAAAGGGGGAATAAAGATTCAGAGAGAAGACATATAGACCCGTGGGGGAGGGAAGAAATCCAGATACAGGAGGAGGCAGAAGAGAACCAGGGGGTCAGAAACCCATAAAAAGAAAAGGATGGAGACCCAGGAGACAAACACCCAGAGAGAGAGAGAGAGAAAAGATCCAATTTGAGAGCAGAGACCCAGAGAAAGGGGAAGACAGAAAAAGGGAGAGAGATGCAGAATGTGTTTGTAGGACAGCAAGGGTATGAGTGTGAGAGTGACAGAGAGAGAAATACAAAATACAGAGATAGAGAAGGAGACAGAAAAGGCAGAGACACAGAGAGCCCCATCATATGTAGGTAGATGGAGGCAGAGGTATGCGACAAAAACCAGGGAGAGACAGAGAGATGTGGAGATGGGGTCTGAAAGAAGTGTGCTAACATTTGCTAAGAACTTGCTACAGGCCAGGTGTTTTCTTAACTCTGTGCAACAGCAGAAGAAGAGGATGAGGCTCACAAAGTTTGGGTGGCTTGCCTAAGATCCCATGGGAAGAAAAACTGCAGAAGTTAAGTTCACCTGACCCACTTGTCTCCGGAAAGAGAGGCCTTGGCCTTTCAGCACTTCCTGAAAGCAGGGAGCAGGGAGCTGGGGAGTGTGGGACAGCAGAGAAGAATGAGACAGAGGTGGCAGCAGGGCTGTAAGTCATTGTAACAAAACCTATGTATTGTATCAGCTTTTCCAGCAGATGGAAGTAAAGTAACTTGAGGAGTGGGAATATTTTTTTCCAATGGGCACTGAGGCAGTGATGGGGTGCATGGATTGTGAGTCAGGGGAAGCTTGGAGTCAGGGGGCTCTCACCCCCTTGCAGATGGCCACGGCTTCCCGGGAAAGCGACTTGGGGTAGGTGACAGTTTGTTCCATGATAGCCTGAAACAGCTCCTCCTCGTCCTCCCCATCAAAAGGAGGCTATGAAAATGGAGGGGATAAAGAGTCAGAGATTTGCCAAATTGCCTTTCCCAGTCCTTCTACACACTCTCATCTTCCACCATGAATATGACTGGCCATTGACATCACCCCCTCACTGACTACTTCCTGGAGAGAGATCAAACCAGACCACCAACGCTTTATCTTTCTCCTGCTCCAACTCTCTAGTTTCCTATCTCAGTGGCCTCAGCTCAGTGTAGCTCTTGGCTGATCTGTTCCTCTTTATCTACTATGTACATCAGCAGGGTGTTAATTAGGCAATATGTCATTAAGGTAAAAGAGAGGAAAAAACATTCTTTTGGTAGGATGAATGTTTCCCAGTCTTCTGGTGTTAGAGAAAGCAATACCAAGGCAAGGATTTTTTTTTATTTATACAAAGTCTCACTTTGTCTCACCCCCAGTAGAGTGCTTTGGAATAATAGCTCACAGCAACCTCAGACTCCTGAGCTCAAGCAATTCACTTGCCTCAGCCTCCAGAGTAGTTGGGACTACAGGTGGCTACCACAACAATCAGCTATTTCTTAGAGACAGGTCTCGCTCTTGTTCAGGCCTTGAACTCCTGAACTCAAGCAATCCACCCACCTCGGCCTCCCAGAATGCTAGGATTATAGGCATGGCCACCATGCCTGGCAAGGCAAGGATTCTTAATGTGGAGTTTAGGGAGTCTCTA